CGCCGCTGCCGTCGTCAGTAGAGCTCTCAGCTGCAAACCCAGCAAAGCTCGAGCCAGAGGCCCAGACGCTTGACATCGTGTAGCACTGCAATTCCAACGAGGAAAGGCCACAGACAGCTACTCCACCGCTTCGATAGGCGAGGGCCATGCCCCCCGTCTCTGCGAGTGTCTTTGCTCTTCTGCGCCTCCTAGCGCTGTACCTCCCGTGCCTCCGCCTCCGCTTGCAAACCCCCCCCCCCCCCCCCCCCTGGGCGTCTCTCGCGTCATCATCATCATCTCGCCTCTGCAAGGAACTCACCGCACCTCCCACCCACGCATCGCCAAACAGCCAGCTGCTCCTCTTCAGCTTGACCTCTGCCGCCTCTTTTGCTCCCAGCGTCTGCTGCACGTGCTCGTCGCAGCGCACGCGCTCCAGCGTCGCCTTGAGCACGCTGCTGCCCAGGCGCTCGCGGTTCGTGGCGTGGGCGGTGAAGAGCAGCCAGGAGGCGAGCGTGGCGCCGCCGAGGAGCAGCGTGGCGCCGAGGCGGCGCGACGACGACGCCAGCGGCGGCAGGTCGCGGTGGGCGCGCGCGAAGGGGCGCGAGACATCGGCCGACTGCGAGGAGGAGGCGCTGCCGCTGCTGCTGCTGCTGCTGCTCGAGGCCGCGGCGCGAGGCAGAGGCGCAGAGGACAGGCGCCGAACGGTACTTGTCCGTGCAGCAGGCGCCGTCGCTTGCGCCAGAGGCAAGAGGCAGCGACGCAGCATCGTGCGCTGAGTGAGGGAGCGGGTGCGGGGGTGTGGAGGCGAGGGAGCAGCGTGCGGCGAGCAGCACAGGCGCCGGCACAGGTGCTGACAGCGCCGCACGAGACCATCACGTGATGGCACGGCACGGCACTCTACTGACATGCCTCGCTGCCCTCGCCTCGGCCCGACGTGGGGGACGCTGCGAGGGGCGCCGCAAGAGCTTGCAGCGCATCGACGCACGGCACAGGGCGTCAGTCGTGCATCTGCACAAGGGCAGCATGGCGCGCCGCCGGCCATGTCCTGCTGCGCGAGGCGCGCCTCGGCCGCGCTCTGCCATCGCGCCTTCTCCTCGCGCCGCCATCATGCACGGCTCCTTCAGTATGTCTGTGTGCACCTCTGTATACAGTCGTCGTTCCGCTCTCCGTCGTCCAAGTCTATGTGCCCGCTTCGTGGCGCAGACGGAGCCATACCTCCCCACACGAGCGTCTCCCATGCGTCTAGGACACGACGTACGGCTCCAGGTTCCTCGCCGCCCCTGTCATACGAATCAGTCATCATCAGTCTCTCTTCCTCTCTCTCTCGCAGCTTCGCCAAAGGGCACAGACTCACACTCGACCGCCAGGAACGTCGCGCTGTTGGAGAAGGGCGCACGCACGAGCGTGGGCGTCAGGCCGCGGAAGAAGCCGCCGGCGCCGGCGGAGCGATAGATTTGCCGCGCACAGTCGAGCGTGCCCTTGAACTTGCGCTCCGAGGGCAGGATCGCATCGGTTTGCTGTGCAGCGCATGAGTGAGCGAGCGAAAGAGGCACAGGGCAAGGAGGCGCGACGGACCATGCGCGTCTTGACGATGCTGCGGCGGAGCGTCAGTGAATGGTGTAGCGCAGAGAGCAGAGGCGGCACTCACTCGAAGGGGTATGCAGAGAGCCACACAGCCAGGCCGGAGGTGGCGCCAAAGAGCACGGCGTACATGCTCGGCATCTCCGAGCGCGTCTTTCCAGTCTTGGCGAGCAGCTGCTGCACGAGGTACTCGTAGGTGAGGAACTTACCACGGCGCCGGCGGGGGGGCCCAGGAGAGGCAGAGAGAAGATGAGCAATGCAGGCAGCGAGGAGAGAGTGGCAAGAGACGCACGTAGCAGCCCATGCCGTGTCCTTCTCTCAGCAGCGTCGGCACAATGCCTCGGAAGATGCCCGATGCGCCCGAAGCCTTGACGATTCTGGCGAAGCAAGCGTGATCAGCGTGGAGAGGCAGCTGCAGGCGTGAGCGCATACATACTTGCTTGCGCAGTCGAGCGGGCCACTGAACACCTTTGTCTGCTGCGTCTGCAGGCGAATGCGGATCTGCTCCACCGGTCCTGTTCACTTTCGCATCAGCGCCTTGCCCCACTCCTGATGCTTGCGAGAGAGAGGCGCAGAACACTCACCAGCGACGAAGCTGTTCGTCAGGCCCGCCGCGGCGCCCGCCAGGTACAGCTGTCCGCCCGAGAGGCCCTTGCCCTTGAGCGCCGGGTCACGCGCGGCATTGGCGGCGCCAAACTCGCGCTTCATGCGCTCAAAGACGCCGAACTGGATCGACACGCAGAGGCCCACGCCGAGCAGCGGCGTCAAGGTGCCCTGCCCTTGCTGGATCAGCGCAAGGCGCGAGGGCAAAGGGAGATGGACGGACCTTGTAGAAGGCCAAGGGACCCTCATTCTTGATGAGCTGCTTGGCACAGTCTGCCATGCCTGCGTGATTCGAGCTTCAGCTCTGCCTTTGCTCTTCCTTGTGCAGAGCTGCCGTGCCTCACCAGTGAAGGTGCCCTGCGGCGCCGTCTGCAGGCGCACCTTGACGATGTCCAGCGGCCTGTGTTCGAGGCGCGTCTCAGCGCTGCCGATGCCGCAGAAGCCAGCGAGAGGCACAACTCACTGGCCGACGAGCACCTGGGCGATGCCACCACATGTGCCTGTGCCCGCGCCTCTTCGTCAGCTCATGCTGCGCTGCCGACGGAGGAGTCGCAGAGGCAGCAGCGCACCGCTGAGAATGTCCTTGGACGTGCGGCTGATGCGCCCGGTGGGCGCCGGCAGCTCAGCCATGATGCGGCGCGGAGGATGTGGAGACGGAGAGAGTCGAGCTGCCGTGCACGAGGAGAGCTCGCGCTGCTGGGACGCCGAGCGGACAAGGACAGGCGGGAGGGAGAGGAAGTGAGAGAGGCGAAGACCCGAGCCGTCATGCCCCGGAAGTCGGGCAGGGCGACAATCGCGCGTGCGCGCCCGCGAATAGCTGCACTCTGGCGCAGCGGCCAGGCCCTCTTCGGCGTGCCCCTGTCTCTGAAGACACCGCCACTTTGCTCCTTTCGCACTACAGAGGCTAGTGCTGGCCCTCTTGTAGAAGCTCGTGGAGCTGCAGACTGTGCACGGTGCTGCCGGACGGCGTCAAGACGGTGCTGCCTCGCTGCGAGATGAGGCCGAGCCACGTGACGTCCGGGCGCAGATTCCCACGGTGCACGGGTGCTTCCGCGGGCGGGCTGGTGCCGAGCGCTCGCGCCTCCACGCGCGGCGCGACACAGGGCAGATGCCTTGTGCCTGCCGAGAGCTGTGCGCCTGTCGAGCACTCTGCGGCATGACGCCGTGGCGCCGCGCGAGCGCGCTGCCGCGCTGCACCCTCTCGCGGCGTGCGCATGCGCGAACTTGCTCGGACGGCCGTCCGAGCGCTGTCGCTTCGCATCGAGGCACGCCGGGCGACCCTCGTGGCCTGAGCGTCGTGCCTGCCCCTGCCCTCTGCCGCTGCGCCGCGCCTGCCAGCGACGCCCGCCGAAGCCTGAACCCGCTCTCAGCCTCAACCCTGCGCGACGCCCCGATTGCACCTTGGCTTCGCACCACCACCACCCACACCCACCTCTCTTCACCGCCCCACCAACCCACACACCGCAACGTGAGTGCCGCCTGGCTGCGCCTGCGCCGGCACCTGTCCTCGCCCATCTCTGTGCTGACACGCCGCCGCAGCATGGTCTTCACCATCGATCTCTCCGGCAAGACGATTGTCGTCTCGGGCGGCAACCGCGGCATCGGTGAGTGGGCCGCGCGCACGCTCTGCCGCACGGTGCCCTGTGGGCTCACACCCCCTTCTGCAGGACTGGCCATGTCCGAGGCCTGCGCCAACGCCGGCGCCAACGTGGCCATTCTCTTCCACTCGCACCCCAAGGCGCACGAGGCGGCCGAGAACGTGGCCAAGCAGTTCAACGTCAAGTGCAAGGCGTACCAGTGCGACGTCGGCGACGCCAAGCTCGTCAAGGACACGGTGGCGCAGATCGAGGGCGACCTCGGCACGCCCATCCACGGCCTCTGCGCCAACGCCGGTGTCTCGGTCGTCAAGCCTGCTCTGGAGCTCACCACCGAGGACTTCCACAAGGTCTTCAACGCAAACGTCCTCGGCGCCTTCAACACGTGCCAGGCCCTCGCGCAGCACTGGGTCGAGAAGGGCTACAAGACGGGCTCCATCGTCATCACCAGCTCCATGTCGTCGAGCGTGAGTCGGAGTGGCTACGTGTGACGCGCAGCAGAGCACCCCGTGCCACTGGCTAGCCGAGACTGACACGATCGCCTCGCACAGCTGTACAACCAGAAGGGCCTCAACGACCCTCTGACGCAGGTGCGCATCCCCGCTTGGCCCCCCGCTCTCCTCCCATGCTGACTCTCCCGCGCGTAGATCTTCTACAACGCCTCCAAGGGCGCCGTGACGAACATGGTCAAGGGTCTTGCCACCGAGTGGGTCAAGCACGGCATCCGCGTCAACGCCCTCGAGCCGGGCTTCTGCGAGACGGAGCAGACGAGCGGCATGGACCCCAAGATTCGCGAGTGGCAGGCCGCCTCGGTGCCCATGGGCCGCTTCAGCCAGCCGCACGAGCAGGCCGACCCGGCCATCCTGCTGCTGTCCGACAAGGTGCGTGTGCCAAGCACCACCACTGCATACGTGCTGCCTGCTCACCTGTCCCCTGGCGCAGGCATCGTACATCACCGGCACGCAGCTGCGGCCCGACGGCGGCTTCAGCGCCTACTAAGCGCTGCGCCGCGACATGTACTGCGCACGCTCCGGCCTCGATACCTGTCTACTCCGGGCCGGGAGCTGCGCAGCAGACGGGACATACACGCACACACACACACACACGCACAACCGTCTTGTAGTTGAGCGCAACCTGATGAACTCACGATACTAGCACCTCGCTCGCTGCTGCTGGCCGCTGCTGCTTCTGTTCGCTGCTAGTGAAGGCGAAGGAACGCTTGCGCGACGCCCGGCTGTTGGAAGGGCAGACTGCCCGCCGCTCTGCTGGTTGCCGCTGCTGCGTGGTTTCAGCGCAGGGTCATCCGTGCTGGGCGAGTGCGCACGTCTAGATGCAGCACAGCAGCACGGCAGACGAGACAGCGGCACCAGGGGCAAGGGAGCGTCCTTGACGTGGCGGCCGGTGCTGGACGTGGGCGCTGCAACGAGACGACAGTGACACTCGTACTTGTCCTCCGTGCCAGAGCGCAGGCAGCGACGGCCGCTGCGGCCAACAACAGATGAGATCTGCGAGAACAACCAAGACTCGTGGGCTTGCAGCAGCACAAGGCACGCACGGCGCCCAGCAGCACAGGCGAGACGAGCGCAGGGCAGCCACTGGAGCAGTGCGCGGCAGCTGCAGAGAGCAGCGACGAAGAGGCAGCAGCAGCGTGCAGGTGCCGCCCGCCGCGGCACCACCATGGCGCGCTCGGCCGCGGCGCAGGCCTGGGCGTGCGGAGCAGGGAGCGGCGGCGCTCGGCGGCGCTCGGCGGCGGCTGCGGGAGAAGCCGCGCGCATGTGGAGGGCCGCAGCGTGACGTGGCGGGTGCGCGTCCGTGCGCAGAAGCCAGCTCCACCTCGCAAGGGCGGCGATCGACCTTCGGCGACCGCTCCGTGTGCGCCGCTGCATAAGACTCCACTCGCACTAGCCGCCCTTCTCCTCCGTACCACAACCACCCACCAATCCACCACAGACACACAGCACCCTCACTCCGCAATGACCTCGCTCGTCAACAAGATCTCCGGCGCCGTGTCGCCGCTCAAGGTGGGCGCCACCGTCGACACGGGCCTCAAGCTCAAGGAGGACGACCCGCACGAGGGCACCGTGTCGCTCGACAAGGTGCCGGGAAAGATCATCATGTGAGTCGGCACGAGTGGGTGCCAGCGGCGCGGCTGCCGAGAGCCACGGCGGCACTTCTCGCTGCTCATCTCGTCGCCCCCGTGCTGACCTGCCTTCGCGCCCCCACAGCGTCGGTGTCCCCGGCGCCTTCACGCCGCCCTGCTCCTCGCACGTGCCGGGCTACGTGCAGAACGAGGACAAGTTCCTGGCCAAGGGCATCAAGGAGATCTACGTCGTGGCCGTCAACGACGCCTTCTGCACCAAGGCGTGGAAGAAGGAGCTGGGCGCCGAGGGCAGCAAGGTGCACTTCCTGTGAGTTTCGCCGAGCCGGCACGACGCGCGCCTGGAGGAGAAAGGCTGACGCGATGCGACTGCAGTGCCGACGACACGGGCGCCTTCACCACAAAGGTCGGCATGCTCTTCGACGCCTCGGGCCTGCTCGGCAACCACCGCGCTCAGCGCTACGTCGCCGTCGTCGAGGATGGCAAGGTGGTGAGTTTGCCTCTTCCTAGCCTCTCCCTCTGCCGCTATGTGCGCCTTTGACGCAGCAGCTGAGACTCATCCATCCCGCAGACCCACTTCGAGGTGGAGGACGAGGCGCCCACGGTCGAGAAGACCAAGGCCGACAACATTCTTGCTCAGCTCTAAGTCTTGAAGCCAAGCCAATGTAGTCCTTCACGCGCCACGCCTCTTTACCCCATAGTACTCTCGGCGTGCGACTTGGCGAAGTAATGCCACTGTGATCACCCCTGCTGTCTGTCTCGCCTGAGCTTTCCGCCCTCTCTTTCTGAGCTCGCCGTCTTCTGTGTGAGCCGTCTGCGGCTCAGCAGCCATCTCAGCGCCGTGCGCACCCTGCTCGGCTGGACAGCATGCTCTGATTACAGAGGGACCCTTGCCCTTCGCCGCGATCACCGATCCTCATCAATCTCCTTCCACAGCTCCGCCTTGCGCTCGCGCTGCTTGGCCGAGGCCGCTGCGTTGCGCGCTGTGCGTTCCAGGCGCTAGCGATCATTGCGGAGGGCGTGGCGGGCGAGAGGGAAAGAAGAAGCGTGCGCGGGGCGTCAGCATCCGTCTCTCTCCTCGTTGCTGCTGCCTGTCTGTCTGGTGCTCCCTCTGCGCTTGAGGCAGCTGACTGATGTCTCCCAGCGTCCGAGCGTTGCCGTCCTCTTTGTCCCTCTACAGCCTCCCGCGCTCCCCCCGCACAGTCACTCTCATCGTCACTCCTCAGCCCTGCCTGCCCTCTCTCTGCACTTCTGCGCCGC